CCCCCAAAACCCCAAAACCCCAAAACCCCAATACTATGCTTGAGATTGAAATTATTTAGAAATATCTCCAAATGTTATTCTATTCCAGTCGTCTTGTAAATTTTTATTCTCCATCACTGCTGCTGAAATTGCACTAATTTGCGGAACAAAGGTGCAATCCCTATCTTCTTCTTTTTGAATCTTATGCGCAAGAAGTTCCCTTTTTTGTTCTAGGACTTTGTGTTCTTGAAATAACCTCTCTGAGCAATCAGAATCATTTCTATTTAGGATTCTGTCGCTTAGGACGTGGAATATTTCTCTTATTCCTGTGCTTGTTAGCAAGTTTCTTGGATTTTTTATCTAAAATAACTTATTACCCGTAAAAAATCCAAGTGAATCTACTGCCCTCATCTACACAACCAATAACTATCAATGAACTAATTTCTATTTCCATTTACTAATTTTCGGTCTGAAATTAAATTTCTTCTTCTTTCACAATTCTCCTTCTGATTTAATAGTCGCAAGACTATTTTTATATTTACATCTATAACTTGGCTTTGACTTGTTTATCCTGGGTGTGAAGCTAACTCCAGTTTCTTGGTTAACCTAAAGATCAAACAGAGTATGCTACTCTTGTCTCTAGAGACTTCCTGTGTCTGTCTTTGGACTTGCTCATCTCGTATAATTTGGAATGAACTAAAAGTATAAGTAAAGCGTTACTATTCTTACTGGATCTCCCTCTCGAACTGTAATTTACTGATGAGTTTATGAAATTGTTCGTGATCGAGACGTTTATGTTAGGATGAGCTCTAGTTTCGCTCATTGATCGTAACTCTCTGTTTCGATCCTCTTTCGCTCATAATAGTTTCTCTTGAACTTCAAAATAGTTATTATAGAGGCGTAGATGAGGCTGTCTAAACTCGTCAGAGTACTGGAACTCGAGCCCAGATTTTTTCTCTGGTTGAAAGGTACAGTTTTCTGTAGCCTTTTTGTTTTTAATAAGCTCATTCTGTCTTCGTTTCTTAGCGATCTGTGCTTCTTGATATAGCTTGTTGTGCACAGTAAGTGCATCCTCATCGAATAAATTATTTGTGACTATTCTTAGCAGATTGGCCTTTATAAGCATTCTGTCTTTCTCTAGATGCACTTTTTGAGTATTTAATATTATTTGTATATGTGTTATTAACCTTTGGAACGAAAGTGCAGTGAACTAACTCATTTTCTTTCTTTTGTCGTGATCGAGATTCTAATTTAATGATCTTCGCTTTATGTTTTGAATATAATTTCTCAAAATGGGGTATGACACTATTTGGTGTTTGGTAAGCACTCCTTGTTTGTGACAAATTTGGGCTAAAAGAGCATTCTTTCAAATCTTCAAGCTCTTTTGATAGCTTATGAGACACAGGTGTTTTATGCTTCCAATGTTTCTGTACTCTTGAGCTAACTACAGATCTTTTTGCCATCGAAAGAGAGTTTTTATTAAGCTTTGGTTCAAAAGTTCACTCTTCATTTCCTACACTACTATGCTTAGTTTTCTTCTTCATGACGATCTTCTTCTTTCTAGCTTTAACTGAGTTGAGCTCACTATAAATCTGCCGAGGTTTCGAAGTGTTCTTCATAGTGAAAGGTTTGGTCTTCTTCTGTTTAGAGGTATTAAATTTGGCTTTCTTCATTAACTTTCTGTATTCTGAACTCTCTGAGTCTTCTTTTGGAGATTTTATTGTGCTAGAGGAGTCTTCTTTAGCGATTGATTTTGTATAATTGCTGATGTGCATGGGCTTTTGAGGAGAATTTCAAATTAGGCTTGGTTGACCTTGTATTTGATTTTCAGCTAGACTTTCTGGTTGTGAGCTAGATGATAGATCAAGCTCTTGTTGGAATTTAGCCTATGGGGGTGTTTTAAGTAGCTGGTTTGTGGAAGTGTTTTATATGTGGCAATAAGAAGGAAATTAGGTATGGAAATGATCGTGAACATAGTTTTTGGATATTTTGAAGGTTCTGGTTCAAAATTTAAGATGGGTTTGGTAGTTATATAAATTAATAAATTTATTTGTGGGCCAGAAATTGTATATAAAGTAACAGAATGATTCAAACGGCTTTAAATCATTTGATTATCTTATTCTAGAACGAAAATTATTTCTTTTCACTTTCTTTATTCAATGAAAATGAATTGACTTAAAATGTGAGATGGATTGTATTAAAGGAAGATACTTTGGAATTCAGCATACCATTAAATTCTGGGAGGGGTCATCCTCGGGTTTATCTCAACTATCAGAGTGCTTTTCTTCAAGATCGGTAGACTCTACTCTCTGCTGTGCGTTTCTATAGAGGATATGATGCATCACAAATTTAAAGAGAATTACCTGTCAGCTGAATGGGTTATGCCGGTGGATACTTTCTCTTCGTAATGTTGTTTCCTCCTGTTTTCTAGACCAAGAAGATTAAAACAAGGATGTCCAAGGAAATAAAAAGATACCTTCAAGCTCTTCATGTGAAGGATCAATTGAATTCTTCATCCATTTATGATACAGTCTGGAGGATATCTCAAGATACTTATCAAACTGGAGTTGGGACAAATAGGTTGCAATTGCAGGTACAAGCACCTCTTGCCTCTTGCTGTCATAAGGATCTTGCTGTCTAGATTGATCGTCTTGGTTAATTAAACTAAGTCTATATCAGGAAGAATACGTACTGTAAATGGTCCTTGAGGATAGACACTTCCTGATCCCCTATAATTCACGTATCGTAGAGGTATTCTACAAATCCAACTGTTTCTTGATTGTAAAAGGACCTCTTAATAGAGGGCAAAGAGTCATCAAGGCAAATTGCACCAGTCTTCATATTTCTTTTATTTATTAACTGATTCAGCAGGAGTTGTAGAGTTGGGGTTTTGGGGTTTTGGGGTTTTGGGGTTTTGGGGTTTTGGGG